CTTTCCTGCTAACCCTCGACACTTTTTAACTCCTTGCTAGTCAAGAAACTCTCCATCTCAGCCTGAAAACTATTCAAAGACCCAACCTCCCACTGCTCTCTTGGGAAGGGAGTTCCACAGGCCCTCCAAGGGAAAAAGAAATTCTCCTCTCCTCCATCAGAAATGGGCTGTCAAGTGTCTAAATAGAAAATGAGGTGTTGCTCCTGAAGCTTGCAATGTGCTTCATTGGAACATTGCAGCAGGTCCAGGTCAGAAATGTTAGCTCACCCACATAAAAAGGAAGGTCAGAGGTCACAGCAACCATCAGTGCACCCGCAATAGAGCAAACTTTGTTTTAACCTTATGAACTGGCACTCTTGATAAACCGGCAAAAATGATCTACCTCAAATACCGTAAAGTTTACTGTGTTATTATATCCGGTTTGTAACTTTATTTACCCCAATTGTGTGGCAACATGAAATATCAATAGTTGATTCAATTTAGAGTTAATTTCTCCTCAAATACCACCATGTATGAGTAGTCAGTTGAGGGCACAAGTGAGAAGGCTCTCTGCTAGTAAGTTTTATTTAAGGTAAAGTTGCATTATTATTTAAGTGATTTATGCTGTAAGTACAGTATTACAGTGATGTGCTTACCCCCTGCAATACATTTCAATTACATTGTGTGTGTTTTTACATTGATTATGGCGTCCCTCTTGATTATCCAGAATACTTAATCAAACTGGCAGACTTCTGGTCCCATGGGTGCTGGTTAATAAAAATATTTATTATATTTAAGCAAATAATTGAGGGTTAATTACTCCTGACAATGCATTATTCACATCATAATATGGTTTTCATGGGCGGGCAGCCAGGAGTGGATACCCTTTCATTAAAGTTTGTAAAAGATCAGGAAGAAAGTGGGTGCTACTATCTCCAGGATATACACACATTGTGCACTTAGAGAGCAGTTCCCCTCGCAGCCCCTGCCTAAGGATTGTAACCTGCTTTCCTTTCCAACCACCTACTTTCCGAAGTCCACTCCCCTTCCTAAATTGGTCAAATCCACCCCATTGAATACCATTGTCAATCCAGGATGCAAAGCTGCCTTCCTCATCGACCTGCCTGCAGTACCGGTGGTGCCCACTACCAAGCTCTGGCGCTACTGTGATGCTAATGCTGACCAATCAAATCAGTTGCAGGCTCTCCTTACTAGTGGGGTTCGGTGGCGAAACAGAGGTCGCTCTGCCCCAGTTCACTGCATATTATTTCTATCGGAAGGAGCTTGTTTTAGTTGGGGAGGGGGGGGTGCTGGTAAGATGCAGCCTCCTGGCCTTGTAGCCACAGTTCATGTGATAAAGCAGTTACATTTCTGGCTAATGAGAACTTGATAGTTGGTGATTCAGTGATGGTTGGATATTCAGTTGATGGTATTGCCATTGAATATCACGTGGAGTTGGCATTTGTAGGGTGTGAATGTTACTTGCCGCTTAGCTCAAGCCTAAATCTTGTCCAGGTCTTGCTGCATGCAAGCATCAAATGCTTCAGTATCTGTTCAGTTACACAAGGTGCTCAAACATTGTGCAGTCATCAATGAACATCCTCACTTAGGAAGGAGGGTCATTGCTGAGTCAGCCCAGGATGATCAGTCCCAGAAAACAACCCCTAAGAAACTTTTATATCAATGTCTTGAAGGAGAGATGATTGACCTCCAACAGCCACAACCATCTTTCTCTTGTGCTAGATTTGACTCTAATTAGTGACACCCTTCTGAAATGAATTGTGCAAGGGCTCCTTGATGCCACACTTGGTCAAACACTGCCTTGATAGCACTCTTAATTCACCTCCAGAATTTAACTCTTTTCTCCAGATTTTGACTAAGGCTATTGAGGTCTGGAGTGGAGTGGTGGAACTCAAACTGAGCATCAGCGAGCAGATTATTGCTGAGTAAGTGCCACTGATAACACTGACAATAGTAGGGCTCTTGTGCTGCAGTATTAGTATCCCTACCTCTAAATCAAGGGACCCAGGTTCAATCTCTCACCTGCTGCAGAGGTGTGCAATAAGATCACTGAAAGTGTGATTAAAAATATCTAGTGTCATCAATGACACATTCTGTCACTTTTCTGATGATTGAGTACAGTTTGATAGTATTGTAGTTGTCTAGGGTTGATTTGTCCTGCTTTTTGTGGGAATACCAGGACATTAATGCACATTTCGGTTAGAAGTCACTGTTATAACTGTACTGAAATAACCTCACTAGGAGTGTAGCATGTTAAGCATCTCAAGTCTTCAGTCCAATTGCTAGAATGTTTTCAGGGCCCATAACCTTTGTAGTATCCAATGTGTTCAACCATTTCTCAATATCACTTGAGATGAATCCAACTGGATGAATTCTGGCATCTGTGATGCTGGAATCTCTGGAGGAGGCCGAGGTAGATCATCCACACAACATTTGATGGAAGAACAGCTTGGCTAGGGTGCACTGAGTTAAACTTAAATCAAAAAGCAGCGCTCATTCAGCCTATATTAAATGTTATATTTAATAAATGTTGATTCTAAGGTAGGTACAGAGCTATGGGGAAAGAACTTTGCAGCTGGTTTTGATTTGTATAATTCCAACCAGTAGGAAATCAATGGGATGAATGGCCTCCCCATTTGCTGTGAATTTACAGAGATTGTTGTTGAGTTAGACCTTGGCCCTCATTTGAATCTCCAATCTCCTCCAAGGAATCAGGAAATGCAAGTTGAACTTCTTCCTCTTCCTTTAAAAACAGATAACAAGCACAGGGAAGGCTCTATTCCACTAGAATAGGGACACTCAACAGGAACGACCTGGGAGTATTGGGTGCACTGAGTTATTCACTAAGGAAAGACCTATGACCCAAGAAAATCTGGAACAGTAGGGTTGTAATGAGATTGGACAGAAAACTGGAATGTGCACCTTTAAAAAATGTGAAGGTTTAACACTTATCTATGAATATACGGAAATTATGTCTATGATCATGTAACAGATCACATGGTAATGAAGGACTTTGAAGAGAGAAACAAAACTCTGGCCCAGATGCTAAGTCTTAGTGTATATAATTAGTATAATGTGAACAAAGAGTTACTTTAGAAAGACCTTAATCTCCAGCAACATCTCTGTGGTAATGCACCCAACCACCTACAAAAAGATCCACACAATGACAGAAAACTAAGTTCTTGGTTCTTGGTTCACATCCCTTATTGGCTGATGAATCTTTTAGGGTGAATAGCCAAGGCCTTTCCCCAGGGTAGGTGAGTCTAAAACTGGAGAGTATAGGTTTAAGATGACAGGGAAAAGACTCAAAAGGGACCTAAGGGGCAACTTTTCATACAGAGGGTGGTGTATCTATGGAACGAGCTGCCAGAGGAAATGGTAGAGACTCGTACAATGACAACGTTTAAAAGGCATCTGGATGGGTATATGAATAGGAAGGCTTTAGAGGGATATGGGCCAAATGCTGGCAAATGGGGCTAGATTAATTTAGGATATTGGGTTGACATGGAAAAGTTGGACCAAAGGGTCTGTTTCCATGCTGGGCAGCTCTATGACTCCATTTACATTTAAAAACATTGTTCACAGCTTCAGGAGATCCTAAGTGGTTCCCAGATAATGCTGTGTAGAGCTGGATGAACACAGCAGGC